TCACTCTATAAATAAATAAATAAATAAATAAAATATGATCAGGAAATGTATAAGAATAAATTAGGCTTAAAATCTCGTATCAAAAAAACCCTCCAAAAAGTAGGTTTCAGAAAGTAGGAAGTCTCACTACCTACTAAGTTCCTTAGCATTTGATTTTTTATCTTGATACTAAACATTAAAAAAAAACAAAAAACCTTAGGGGCCCCCTGGGTGGCTCAGTCAGTTAAGCATCTGACTCTTGATTTTGGCTCAGGTCATGATCTCACAGTTTGTGAGCTCAAGCTCTGGGCTGGGCTCTGTGCTGACAGAGCCCCACCCGTGTATACACATACACTTTCTCTTTCTCAAAATAAATAAATAGTTTTTCTATATTTTTTTTAATGTTTATTTATTTTTGAAAGAGAGGCAGAGCATGAGCAAGGGAGGGGCAGAAAGAGAGGGAGACACAGAATCAAAAGCAGGCTCCAGGCTCCGAGCTATAAGCACAGAGCCTGATGCGGGGCTCGAACTCACAAACCATGAGATCATGACCTGAGCTGAAGTCTGGCGCTTTACCAACTGAGCCAACCAGGGCCCCAAATAAACTTTTAAAAATGAAAAAAATGAAATGTTATGAAAGGAGATGAAATAAAAATAAAATGAAATGAAATGAAATGAAATGAAATAAAATGACATGAAATGAAATGAAAACTTAAAGGGGCACCTGGGTGGCTCAGTCAGTCAAGCATCCAACTTCAGCTCAGGTCATGATCTTAAAGTTCATGAGTTCAAGCTCTCTGTTGGACTCTCTGCTGTCAACACAGAGCCCACTTCAGATCCTCTGTCTCCCTCTCTCTCTGCCCCCTCCCCTGCTTCCACTTTCTCTCTCAAAAATAAACATTAATTTTTTTTTTAAAAAAGCAGCATCTGACCCTTGATTTTGGCTCAGGCTATAATCCCAGGGTCCTGGGATCAAGCAAACATTGGGCTCTGCACTGAGCATGATTCTGCTTAAGATTCTCTCTCTCCATCTGTCTCTGCCCCTCCTCTGCTAGTGTGCCCACATGTACTCTCTCCCTAAAAAATAAAAAGAAATAAAAACTTAAAGTTATCTTTTAGCAGAATAAAAATAAAGAATTCATATTTTTAAAAAATCTCTAGAGGAAAAAAGGAAACAAAATCCATACTGTAGAACACCATGGGGGGAAAAAAAGACACTTAAAACTATGTTTTAACTGCATCTACAAGTGATGTACCAAAAGAATTCAACAAATAAGGAGGGCTAAAAGTGGGGGGAAAAAAACAAGGAAGAAACAAATCAAGGAAACAAACACAAGACAGTAGGGTGGCACTGTTACAGCAGACAGTAAGAGGAAACGTCTGTTACCAAGTATTAAAACCAATCATAAAGCAACTGTAATTAAAAACAGCTGAGTAATAACTATCATAAATGGATCAAAAGAACAGAAACAGACTTAAGTGTTATAATAGTATAAAAGAACTAAGTTACAGGGGTTCCTGGGTGGCTTACTTAGTTGGGCGTCCAGGTCATGATCCCACCGCTCATGAGTTTGAGCCCTGTGTCAGGCTCTGTGCAGACAGCTCAGAGCCTGGAGCCTGCTTTCGATTCTGTGTCTCCCTCTCTCTCTGTCCCTCTCCTGCTTGCATTCTGTCTCTTTCTCTCAAAAATAAATAAACATTTAAAAAAATAAAGAACAAAGTTATAATAAAGGTAGCCTTTTTTTGAAAGAGAGGAAGAGAGTGCGAGTGGAAGAGAGGGAAAGAGAATCTCAAGCAGGCTCCATGCTCAGCACGAAGCCCAATGCAGGGCTCGATCCCACAACCCAGGGATCATGACCTGAGCCAAAATCAAGAGCTGGAGGCTCAACCTACTGAGCCACCCAGGTGCTCCTAAAGGTAGTCTTTTATTTTTTAATTTTTTTTTTAAATTTGTTTTTGAGAGAGAAATAGAGACAGAGTAGGAATGGGGAAGGGGCAGAGAGAGAGACACACAGAATCTGAAACAGGCTCCAGGCTCAGAGCTGTCAGCACAGAGCGGGGCTCGAACCCACAGTGAGATCCTGACCTGAACTAAAGTCAAATGCTTAGCCAACTGAGCCATCAGGTGCCCCTTAAGGTAGCCTTTTAAATTAATGAGAAAAAGACTGTTTAAAAATAAAATAGAAGCAATTATTGGTTATTTAGAAACAGTAATCATTCCTTATATGCTATACTAACATAATTCCAGTTGAGTTCAATGGAACTTAAACCATAAAAGACTAAGAAGAAAATATTAATGTATTTATCTATTTCAAAGAAGTTCTTTCCAAGTACATATCTACATGCTAATAATAATCTCACTATAAGCAAAATGCAAGGCAAATAGCAAATCAATGAAAAATATCTGTAACAAGATAAAAATCATTAAGAAAAGAACAAACACTCCTTACCTGTGTGGGCAAAAAACATGATTACATGATTCACACACACACCCCAAATTCAAATATCCATTAAACACATGAAAAACGAAAAACAAAACAAAACTCCCTGTCATTATTAATGAAAGAAACACAGATGAAAACATCTATGTAATAACTTGAGAGCATAAACTTTTATGGTCTTCAAACCTTCAAATACTACAAGCAAAATTACACCTTTAAGCCTCCTTTAAGTACCTATCTAAGCCTTAAAATTTATCCATGTTTTGTTTTGAGAATTCACATTAAAGAAATAATAAAGCATGTGTACCAAGATTTCTGCCCCAGGAGCAGGGGATGAACACAACAGTCAAATGGGGTCAGTGGATTAGCCAGGCCCTGCCACTTGATTGACCGGCAACAAAGGGACATCAGTAAAAGCATCTGCATTTTAGAGCTTTTTAGGAACCCAAATAATGATGGGCACCAGTAACCATCAGGCAGTGGTGGCAAGTTTATCTGTAACACCGCACAACTGGCTCTAACTCCCTTATCTGAAATGCTTGCAGTCAAACATGCCTCACAATTAAAGCCTTTCTGGATACAAAAATAAATAAATAAATAAAAATTTACCCGAGCAGGTCTGGGAAAGTACCTGGTTATCAATTCTGTTACTATTCCTACAGGGAAATATCCATTCTAAGTGAGATAAGCACCAGTTCAGGTCACGTTTTGCAGTCCAATGAGTGAAGAAAAAATTTTCAGTTTTAGAGCTTTCTGGACTCCGGAGATGCACAGAAGGGATTGAGAACCCGTGTTTATAATAGAGAAACATTAACATCTATCTAAGTGTTATGATAATAAGGGATAGGCTGCATAAGTTATATAGCCCCAAGACGGGAAACTGCACCACTATAAAAAGCCACTTTTTTGGGGCGCCTGGGTGGCTCAGTCGGTTAAGCATCCAACTTGAGCTCAGGGTCATGATCTCATGTTTCATGAGTTCGAGCCCCATGTCAGGCTCTGTGCTGCTACCTCAGAGACTGGAGCCTGCTTCAGATTCTGTGTCTCCCTCTCTCTCTGCCTCTCCCCTGCTAACACTCTGTCTCTCTCTCAAAAATGAATAAACATTAAGAAAAAAATTTTAAGTCACTTTTTCAAAGAATATTTCATAAAATGGGAAAATGTTCATGAATAGTAGGTTAAAAAAAAGGCAAGATAAAAATATGCATTATGAATTCGACTTTGCGAAAGTAAATTACATGGATGTTTACGATTCCAGAATAAAAGACACAGGAACCATACCAGGATGTTAAATCAGCCACACTGACTTATGTTCTTTAGACTCCTCTGTATTTTTCTCACTTTCTACGACAATCAAGAAAATAACCCACTATGATCTGGAACCATGTACGGCCTATGTTCCTGTGTAGGACTAGAGGGTTAACAACTCCATCTCTGCCCCCAGGGAATCTAGAATCTCATCTCTGGAGAGCTCTGGGCAGGACTCAGTCCTCTCTGCATGAGACTGCATTTCATTCTCCATCAACAACTCCCTGCTGGCAGTCGGAACACTGTGACCCACTCACCAGGACTTTTTCACACCTCCACCTAATGAGAAACACTGGTGACCTTGCAAACCAGTGGTAAAAATGGCACGAATGGTACAATTAGAGCTTGAATCAGTTCATGACCTTATTTAAATCTACCCCCCCAAAAAAAAGGACTGTTAAAATGTGTTCGACTTTTTATTTTTTTCACTGTACCCAGGGAATCTCAATTATTTAAGAAATTGTTGGGGGAGGAGGAAAAGGGAAAACAAACCTGCATTCAGGTTTGTTCCAGGTGCTTCTCATGAAGAAGAGGGTGTGAACTTGAACGTGACAGGCCCAGCAATGAAAACCTCAGTCATTTTGTGGAACAAATAGATGCTGAGAGGGACGGTGACACTGGAAGGGCCCCTTGTGAAGGGACAGGCAGGAGTCAACACTTCTTACCTAACAGACCATCAGTGTCTAAGGGGTGGGCGTTGGGCAAATCATTGAAGGCCTCAGTTCCCAGTTACCTGAGTGTTCCTAACACCCAGGTGGTCTTCGTGAGCTCCTCCCACGTCTAGAATTCTCCATCAGTTTAATAGTTCAAAAACCTTTTTCACCAATATGCTATTTGTGACGGACTGTTACAGCCTACTCGATTTCAAACTTGGAACAGAGGTAAATAAATGGTTAATCAACACCTAATCACCCAAAAAAACCCAGATGGGTTGACAGTTTATCATGTTTACATAGAATCCAATAGTCTTTTTCAACTATTGCAGAGAAGAGGAAAAATCCTTCTGTAAGGCTTTCGACACATAAATTCTTGCCGGCTGTGGCCTTAAATAAGAAGTTAACTCTCTTAGCTTAATCCCACAGAAATGACTTGTTTGTAGGCAGATTATCCTCTGGGAATCCTTTTTATTATTTGTGGGGTGATAATCCTTCCCTCCTTCCCTCGCCTTCTCCCAACCCAAAGAGGAGGAGCACAAGGTGAGTGTCCATCGTCCCCTGTACCACCAGGACCATCGTGAAAACAAGAACCTTCCAGGAGAAAGGGCGGACTTACCCTATCCCAGCTGAAACACAGGCCCAGCCGATCAAGCTGCTTCCTCATGTGTTTAATATTACTGTCAAACAAAGCAAGAGGGTTTGGTTTTCAGAAGGGGGAAGGCCACAAGCAAACCACACCTTGAGAACGTGAAGGGAAACTCCAGAAATCTAGGTTATTCAAAAGGGTTTCCAGGGGCGCCTAGGTGGCTCAGTCCATCAAGCATCTGACTTCGACTCAGGTCATGATTTCAGTCTGTGAGTTTGAGCTCCGCATTGGGCTCTGCTCTCAGCAAAGACCATGTTTCAGATCCTCTGTCCTCCTCTCCCTTTGCACCCCCCCAAAGTACATAAACATTAAAAAAATATTTAAATGAGTTTAAAATCGACTGAAGAGAAGGCCCCTGATGTACAAAGTGTGGGAATCCAAAAGAAACCTGGTTTAGAGCTTGCTTATCAGTCAAAACCTAAAATCTAAAACTGTCCAAAAACTGGGATAGAGGGAGAGAAGTGAATTAATCAACTTTCATATAATAGGAAATGAGGTAAGACGTCATTTTTCCCTTTTCTCTAGGTGATCTCTGCTTGGCCAGCAACAGCTTATTTTATTTTGTGCTAGACATTTTGCAGAAGAGTGCTTGCTATGGACAGTGTTGGTGCCCTCCACCCCTCAAGTTCATATGTTGAAACCTAACCAAGGTGATGGTCTTTGGAAGTGAGGCCTGTGGAAGGAGATTAGGTCTTGTGGGCAGAGCCCTCCTGAATGGGATCAGTGCCTTATGAAAGAGACCCCAGAGAGCTTCCTTGCCCCTGCTGCCATGTGGGGACACAGAGAGAAGACAGCCATCTGTGAACCTCCCCCTCACTAGACACCACGCCTGCAGGCACCTTGGTCTTGGACTTCCCAGCCTCTACAACTATAAGAAACAAATGTCTGCTGTGTATAAGCCGCCCAGACTATGGTGTTTTTGTTAAAGCAGCTGACTGACTAAGCGCTTCATCGTTATCCGTTCAGATGAGGTAGGGGCTAGACTATCCCTCGCCTACAGAGAAATAAACTGAGACACAGAGATGCTAAGTAATTTCCTCAAGGTGATTAGCTAACAAGAAGGAAACACAGGATTTGCACCGAGGTGGCCTGATTCAGGGGCCATATTCTTTTCTTTGTTTACAGTTTAGTTTTTGAGAGAGGCAGAGAAAGGGAGAGAGAGAGAGAGAGAGAAAGAGAAAGAGAGAGAAAGAGAGAGAGAGAGAGAGAATATGAGTGGAGAAGGGGCACAGAGAGGAGGAAAACGAATCCTAAGCAGGCTCTGCGCTGTCAGCACAGAGCCCAACATGGGGCTTAATCCCATGAACTGAGAGACCATTACCTGAGCTGAGATCAAGAGTCAGATGCTTAATCGACTGAGCCACCCAGGCGCCCCCAGGAGCCATCTTCTTAACTGCTGTTTTCTAGTGGAGGGGTTGGCAAACTTCTTCTGTCAAGGGCCAGATGGTAAATGCTTTCAGCTTTGTGAGCCATACGGTCTGTCACAACTACTCAACTCTGCCCCTGTATCATGAAAGCAGCCATGGGCAATATGTAAGCAAATGGGTACGGCTGTGTTCCAATAAAACTTTACTTACAAAATTAGGTAGGGCCAAATTTGGCCCATGGATCATAATTTAACAATTATTGGTCTAGTTTACATCAATTTTGTACCATATTTGATCCACTTTATTTAATTATCTTTTCTTCCTTTTTTCATCATTCCCATTTAATCTAGAATTAACCATAACTGGAAAAGTGGGAACTGGGGGTTAGGAGAAAAAAGAGGGGAAGAAAAGGTTCAGTGGATGCTTTTACAATGTAGCCTTGGGCAAGATAAAGCAAAGGGAGGTGAAAGACAATGGGGACAGGCCCTTGAGCTGCCCTTCTACATCTCTTGAGACGGAGAGTAGGGAAGGGCCCAATCTTTGTGAAAGAGGCTCATGGAGAGAGCCCAGAACTCAACTGGGTTCTGGCACGAGGGGTGGGCACTGCTGGTGCACATGTATGTGGAAGCATGAGGCACAGGTGGAACTGGGAGTGTGTCCCTCTTGGAGAAAGCCACGCCCAAAATATACTGGCCATATATTTCCACCCTGAATGTCTAAGTTCCTCTTGCTCTAGAAGGGCAAAGGCAAAAATTAACAGAATTTTCAGAGAAAATGACACTGTGGGATTGGGATATAGCTAGCACTGGTCAAGAAGATGCAAAAATATAACAAATGCAACCCTCTCCTTCTTCCTTCCAAATGCAAATCCTCAAAGGAAGAATAACTTTGCAAACAACAAAGCATCAAAGGGAACGCATAAATGAATACCTAAAGCCTTCTAGGTCATTTCTTAGAGAAGAACACAGCTTGCTAAAGCCAAACACCAACATACACAATTCTGTTTATCGCCTGGCAGTCCGCAATGTTTTGTTTGCTTTGTTCTCTGTTTCTCATGCACAGATTAGAACATGTTCTTGAGGTTTCTAAATGTGTTCAGATACACCTATAAATACATACCTTTGTGTCCAACTTTCTGGATGTAGATTCCTCTCGATCGCTGCATTTTCGGCAGGCAGTCCGAACGCATCCCATCCCATGGGGTTGATGACCTAGCACCCAGAAGAGAAACATCAGTCATGGCCGCCTGCTAAAATCTCTACCAGCACTGTCTTCTGGGCAATAAACAGGCCTTCTCTCCTACTAACATGTCATGTCCATTTCTGGATGATTCCAAATGATGCTTTTGAAAGCCAGCTGGCTCCTATGATGTATACAGAGGAAGAGAATTTAGAAGGTTATATGCCGTGGTGCCAACAGCAGTTTTCTCTGAGTGGACTATTTTCCGTGACTACTCTTTACTTCCTTCTTCTTCTTGTCTGTATTGTCTATCATGAAACCAAGCTGTTTTCCTGAAACTAGAGTTTCCTGTGATTTCAAATATATATACCTATAAAAACATACAGGCATTTAAAATGCTCACCTCATATTTGTCTCTTCCAATTAAGGATCTGTGCTGTCCAATATGGCGGCCACTATCCACACGCGGTTGTATAAATGTAAACTCAAATTAACTAAAATGAAAAATTCAGTTCCTCCGTTGCACTAGCCACTTCTCAAGGCTGCAACAGCCACTAAAATCTTAGAGCTCAGAAAGGGCTCTAGGTCCTCACCTAGGACCTAGGCAAGAAAGGTCCTCTACCCCCGCCCCCTTTAATTTGACAGTTTAAGCAACTGTGGCCCGGCGAGAGTGAGCAGCCATGCTAGATCACACCAGAAGCAATTAATTGCCTCAAGCCAGGATGGGCCAGTAAGGCATCCATTTCTGGAAATGGACACCCAGTTACACCTCGACTGGTGGCTTCAATGCCAAGGTCGTTAAGTTGACTTACATGCTGTGAGCGGGAACCGCGGCAGGAAGCACATACCGGCCTTGTGTTAATCACACAGACAACCTGGCCTTCTGTTCACACACACTTCCTTGGGATAGTGACCAATATACAGAGGCATTTACGGGCACTACCTCATCACGCGTGCACATCAAAACAGGACATTTTCCACCAAAGAAAGAGGTCTGGTTTTCTTTTATACAAAAAAAAAAAGTATCCCTCTGACATTTGAAGTAATGCATATTTGCTATAAATAATTGGGTACACAGAGAAAAATACTCAGAAGAAAACAAAACTCACTTGTAATTCTACCATATAGTCATATACAACCAGTTAAGTTTAAAAAATGTACATCCAATTTTCAGAGATCGGGATCATATCATTTATGGGTTTTTTTTTTTCGCTCTTCTTTCTTTCCCGCCGTGCACCTGGAATTCTCTTCCATCTTTCTGCCTGGCACAAGAACTCTCTGAAGTGCACATGAATGTCACCCATGGCCATCTCTGCCTTGGGGCCTTAGGCACCTATGATTTGAAGTGTCCCAAACTGGACTCATCTCCCCTCCCAGCCTCCAGATCCGTTCTCCCCGGGGCCCCACATAACGGGAAGCAGGAAGAGAATGGGCGTGCCCCTTCCAAGGAGTGGAGCCACTTGCGTTAAAGTCACCATTCTGAGGGCACATTACTTTTTAAATGGGTTTTAGGAGTCTGCTGGGATCATTCCACCTAAAGCCGGAGACCATGCACCCAAAATCTGAGCTGCTCAAACCCCTCTGGCTATAAAGGCTCACTCTTCAGGAAGCTGTGTGGTCAGCGGGGGAAAGCCCCAAACCCCAGCCTGCCGTTTATGGGCACTGGGACCCAAGGTACTGTACGTACTCCACTCGTGACTAGAAGCAGCCACCTTGCATTGCTGAGGACAACATGCCACGTCAGGGGGGGGCACCCAGCATGGGGCACACAAGATGGGTGCCCCACAAACGGCAGCGCCGGCCACCTGCCATCTGCCACCTGCTCTTCAGCACCCACAGCACTGCCCAGTGCTGGATCCCCCATCAAGACTTCAGCCTGTCTCTCTGTCCAATCATCACGATCGCTATCTGACACCAGGTGGGGAGACGTCTTGACCTCACCCCCGTCCCCAGCCCTGTGCACTCCTGAGCGTGGGTTACTTGTGACAAGGTTGCAGAACGCTGGTGTCAGGCATTAGAAATCCTTAACCAAACCGAACAGACCATGAGGTTCAAAGGGCCATTCAACTGTTTGGCCTGCTTTCCCATAAAAGGAAAATTCTTTCTTGCAAAGTCAATGGCTCATATGAGGTGCTCCGCTTGAAAGCAGCCTGCCTCTTCCTACAAGCTGGCCGAAGCAGGGGAGTCATGGGCTAGTCCACGAGAGGGCAGCCTCCCGGGCCCTGCCCCCGACCACCCTGGGCAAGGACACCCACCCCGTAGACTGGCCACCTCAGGGCTGGCGGTGAGTCGGATCCACTCACACGTGCCTTCTGGAAGAGATACCGGCTTGGGGAATGAGCAGGACTGTGGGCACCTCAGCCTGCGATTGCTCGGGGGGAGGCTGGTCTGCGGGTCCCACATGGAAGCCCGGGACTTCCAGCCTGAGAGGACGTGACTTCCAAGCCACCCCACCTTCAGCGCCTCTGTCCACACCCCTCCAGAGTTCCGTCTGACCCGGGTCCTTTCTTCCTCCTTAACTGGATGTTTCCCAAAGCACAAGCGTAATACGAGCTTATTGTAGCAAGTGACACAATATGACACGTGATACATAAAAGCAAGGCTGACCCTCTCCCTCTGGTCCCAACCTCCCTTCTCAGCTCTGACGTGCCTGAGAACACCAGCCTCTCCGGGTCCCTCCACATCTTTCTCACTCAAGCATGGACATACAAATATGTGTACACGTATACAGGGGCTGGCTGGCTTATGCTTTTTGGAAACAGAACCTGTTTTACGCTATTTTAGAACCTGCATTTTTTTTTTCATTTGACACATCATGGACATCTGTACAAAATACGTGTATGTGTGTGTGTGTGTGTGTGTGCATGTGTGCACATGTGTGTGGCTTCTGACATCTTAACATTCTCCCAGGAGTGTCTGTTCTATGAAGTTTTAGGAACCCGGCCAGACACAGCCCCATCCAGTTGATCTTTCAGACCCGAGGTCTCCCTTCCTCTTGCTAAATGTGGCGGCCCCAAAATGCTGCATCCTTCCCAACAGCGTCCTCCCCTTCTGGAAACTGCTCCTCCTCCAACTTCACACAGTCCAGCCGGGGGCTGCCAGTCGCAAAATCAGTCCCTCTGGTTACACGTGCCTGAACCCTTCTCTGGGCCTGTCTGTGGCCTGCAGGGAGCAGGGGCAACAGAGACCGGGAGGGCAATGGCACCCTCCTTTCCCCTAGGCCCAGAGGAACAAGGACATGGGCCCACCTGGTGGCGATGTCTCCGCCACAGACAACACAGCTGGTACATGCACCGAGCCTGGGGACACAGGCATGCTTCAAGGACCTCGTCCTGATCCCCATGGGCCTGTTCCTGCAACACTTCCCTTTGACTCTGTGAGATAGGTCAGGATCTGTAAAAACACACGAGCCCCTTTTTGGCTCCAGCTGGTCTGAGCTGGCTTGCCATCCATCTGTGGTAGCCAAGAATCCTAAGTAAAACACACACCCTTGAGGATATAGCTCTCTCTTTAGCATTGCTTAATCCACAGATGAAAAACATTCCCTTGTAACAATTGTTAAGCATCACAGCCTTTTCTCTCTTTTCCTTTAATTTTTAAAAAGAAAGAAGAGAGAAAGGGAAGGGAGGGAGGAAAGAAGGAAATGAAAGAAAGAAAGAAAGAAAGAAAGAAAGAAAGAAAGAAAGAAAGAAAGAAAGAAAGAGAGAAAGAAAGAAAGAAAGAAAAGAAAGAAAGAAAGAAAGAAAGAAAGAAAGAAAGAAAGGGAAAGAAGGAAAGAAAAGAAAGAAAGAAAGGAAAGAGAGAGAAAGAAAAAAAGAAAAGAAAAGAAAAGAAGAGAAGAGAGAGAGAGAAAGAAAGAGAGAGAGAGAAGTCTGATTTTGGGGCTCAATGCTGGATTACTAGAAAGTTCCACAGTACTTCTACGGACGACGCAGGAGTGCAACTTTCAGCTATGCTTCAATTCCCCTGGGGCTGCCTCACTGGCAGGAAAATGGAGCTGTTGTGTAACTGTTCCACGGGAAGGAGGAACGTAATTACCACTTGGTTTCTGGGTTGGAACTGCCAAAATGGCACTGGTTCAACACTCCTGCCTATTAACACTCTGCTAGATGCTGTCCGTATTTTTAAATAAAGTCAATACAGAGACAGTCACAAAAACCAGTCTGGATTTACGTAATATTTTTCTATTTTTGTTTTTAGATGAAATTAGCATGAAAAGAGAGTCTTAGCCCACATGTTACCCAAGCTGTCTATGAAAATAAAGTTAGACAATCTTAAAGCTTCTTAATATTTCATTCTCACCAAAGCCTGACAGAAAGCGAACGCCTGCCTAGAGTACAGACTGTGGGGGAGCCTTTCTGCATCTCGAAGTCAGAACAGTTCTCTCCACCATGGGCCGATCGCTGGCATAAAGGTTCCGTGAGCCAGCTTCCCACGGAAGAGGGAAGAGTCCCATCGCTCTTCTACCCGGGTTTCCAGAGACCCAGGGGCCAAGTGCAGCCCATCTATGTAAAAAACACCATGTCAGGTGACTCCTTTGCCAGCCTCCTCCGCCTCCTGGTCTCTTAAACATCACCCGCATCAAACACCTCCCTTCTAGGTGTGAGATGCCCTCTTCCTCACCTGCGGTTTCCTATCGCCAAGACTATCCAAAACATTCACCGGGAGGCTTCTAACTCTCCTTTTTGGTTCTGAAATTCCTATTCCTTTCCATCACTACAACTTGGTTTATTTATTTAAAAAAAAATTTAAGTTTATTTATTTTTGAGATAGAGTGCGAGCCGAAGGGGCAGAGAGAGAGGAGAGAGAGAGAATTCCAATCTGAGCTGTCAGCACAGAGCCCGACACAGGGCTTGAACCCACAAGCTGTGAGATTATGACCTGAGCTAAAGTCAGATGCTTAACCGACTGAGCCACCCAGGCGCCCCTGTATTTCTTCTTTGTAAAGGGGGTGGAAATACGGAATTGTATGTATAATTTAAAAATACATTTTTGAAGAAGAAGAAGAAAAGAACAGGCAAAGGACCAGTTC